GCCGGAGCCCAGCAGGTCGAGGCTGCGGTGGCTGGGAGCGGCCACTGCACCCCAGTCTGGGCGACTGAGACTCCAACTCCAAAAAAAAAAGAAAGAAAGAAAGAAAGTCAAAAATAAATAAATAAATAAATGATAGAGCAGGCATTCTAGGCTAGGTGAGAAAGAAATAAAAACAAGAGGGCTACCAACAGAGTCAAAATGTGGGACAAGGGTCTAAATATACCAATTAGTCAATTAAAAAGGTATAATGGGAGTAGGAAGAAAGCTGAACAGAAGGCTACATTTGGAGTCTATAATATCAGGGTAATGACAAGGTTCCAAATGCAGTCAATGATGAGGCAGAAATAATTTAATGAAGATAAGGATGTTAAACAGGTTAAATAACTAACCTACTGTTTGTCTGTTATTTTGCTATTTTTTTTCAGGTGATCTTTTTTTTTTTTTTTTTTTTGAGTTGGAGTGTCACTCTGACGCTCAGGCTGGAGTGCAGTGGCACACTCACAGACATGCCAGCATCGACCTGTAGGGTTCCGGCAATCCTTCCACCTCAGCCTTCTAAGTAGCTGAAGCTACAGCACGTGCTACCACATCAGGCTAATTTTTTAATTTCTTGTAGAGATGAGGTCTTACAGGCTGAGCCACCACGCCCAGTCTACTAATCTACTGTTGAATAGAATCGGACTATACATACTGGAAACAAAGTGCATAGCTAAATAAGTAAAGTCATACTAAAGGCAATCACTCCTTACAGCAAGGACATTTTCTTATAAAAGTAAATGCCACAGGCTGGGCACAGTGGCTCAGGCCTGTAATCTCAGCACTTTGGGAGGCCGAGGCGAGAGGATTGCCTGAGCCCACGGGTTTAAGACCAGCCTGGGCAACTTGGCGAAATCTCGTCTCTGCAATAAATGAAAAAAAAATTTGCCGGGCGCGGAAGTGCATGCCTGTAGTTCTGGCTACTTGGAAGGCTGAGGCGGAAGGATTGTCAGAGTCCAGCAGGTCAAGGCTGCGAAACTGTGAGCATGCCATGGTACTCCAGCCTGGGCGACAATGAGACTCCAACTCAGAAAAAAAGGTAAATGACACAAACCAGCCTTTCTAGGCCTCCTCTACTCCCCATGGCCTTTTTGCATTTTAAGACATAACTGCCCTACTTCAAAAGCTCATCAGTCCTACAATTGATGGTAGTCCTACAACTACAACTATAATCTTGTTTAGAAACAAGACTGAGGCTGGGTGCAGTGGCTCATGTCTATAGACCCAGCACTTTGGGATGTCAAGGTGAGAGGATTGCCTAAGCCTACGAGTTCAAGACCTGCCTGGGCAACTTGGCGAGACCTCATCTCCACAATATATGAAAAAATTAGCCAGGTATGGTGGCACATGCCTGTAGTTCCAGCTACTTGAAAGGCTAAGGCAGAAGGGTTGCCTGAGCCCAGCAGGTCAAGGCTGCAGTGGCCGTGAGTGTGCCCCTGTACTCCAGTCTGGGTGGCAGAGGCTCTTACACAAAAAAAGAAACAAGATTGAAAAAAAATTATTTTAATTTTCAGTTTATAATTTTCTACAATCTGTTATTATTATTATTTTTTTTTTTGAGTTGGAGTCTCACTCTGTCGCCCAGACTGGAGTGCAGTGGCCGCTCCCAGCCACCACAGCCTCAACCTGCTGAGCTCCGGCAATCCTTCCACCTCAGTCTTCCCAGTAGCCGGAATTACAGGCGCACGTTACCACGCCCGGTTGATTTTTTGATTTACTGTAGAGATGAGGTCTCGCTGCCCAGGAGGGTCTCGAACCCGCGGGCTCAGGCAATCCACTCACCTCAGCCTCCCAAAGGCGCGGGATTACAGGCTGAGCCACCAAGCCCGGCTTGTTATTATATTTTATATTAATTAATTATAGAATACTTGCAAAAGACTTCCTTCTGATCCATATGTGATATTATGTATGAGGGGGAACTCCTCAAAAAATGGAATTATCTTTCGGAGGGCAGGTCCCTTGAAGTATACTCAGAATTTGTTCCTCTGGATAAAACAGTCAACCAAAGTTTTTATCTGGAAGTCTTGAGAGAAACTGCAACACGCTTTGGGAAGAAATGTTCTGAATTGTGGCAAACAGATGACTGGTTCTTCCACCATGATAATACACCTGCCCACACCACGCTCAGTGTTCAGCAGTTCTGGACCAAAAACAGAATGACTCCTGTGCCCACCCTTCCTATTCATTATCTCACCCTGGAGAGAGAGCTGTCCCTGGAGACTGTAGCACCTATACTTGGGACCCTTGCAGATCTTCCCCTATGTATCTCTTCATCCAGCTTTTTATTTGTATCCTTTGAAATAACCCAGTAAAAGTAAGTCTCGCTGAGTTTTGTAAGCCACCCTAACAAATTAACTGAACCCAAACAGGGGGTCAAGTTGAGGAACCCTAACTTGAAGCCAGTTGATAAGAAGTTCCAGAGGCCTGGACTTGTGACTGGGGGGAAGGAGCAGGAGGTCTTGTAGGACTGAGAGCTCTATCTATGGGATCTGAGCCTATCTCCAGGTAGATAACATTAGTATCAGATTGAATTAGAGGACACTCAGCTGGTGTCTGTTGCTTGGTGTGTAGGGAAAAAACCTTATATATTTGATCACAGAAATATTCTGTATTTATTGTTATGAGAGCAGAGGAAATACAGTTTGAGTTTGTTTGGTTTTTTTTAATTGGGGTCTTACTCTGCTGCCCAGGCTGGAGTAAAATGGCATGATCATGGCTCACCACAGTCTCGACCTCCTGGGCTCAAGTGATCTTCCCACCTCAGCCTCCCAAGCAGCTGAGACTACAGGTATGCGCCACCACACCAGGCTAATTTATTTTTACTTTTTCTAGAGACAAGGTCTAGCTATGTTGCCTAGGCTGGTCTCCTAGGTACCAGAACTCCTAGGTACCAGAGTTCTGCTGGGTGTGGAGGCTCACACCTATAATCCTAGCACTTTGGGAAACAGAAGTGAAAGGACTTCCCAAAGCGCTAGAATTCCAGGCATGAGCCACCGTGCCTAGTACAGTTTGAATTTTTCTACTTTCACACCATCTTTTTATGCTTTCCCCAAAATATCATTTGTTGATACTAAAAGATTATTAAAAAAATGCATCATCATCTTTATCTCTATTGAGCATATGCTAGTTTGTGAGGAAGAAAATTAAATAAGTGTACTTTGATGGGAGTAAATTTATGAAATCCTACAATATCTAAAAGCTATTATAAAGTGGATCTAGCCAGGTGCAGTGGTTCACACCTATAATCCCAGCACTTTGGGAGGCTGAGGTGAGAGGACTGCCTGACCCCATGAGCTCAAGACCAGCCTGGGCAACATGGCGAGACCACATCTCTACAATAAACAAAAAAAATTAACTCAGCATGGTGGGGCATGCCTATGGTTCCAGCCACTTGAAGGCTGAAGAGGAAGGATTGCCTGAGCCCAGCAGGTCGAGGCTGCGGCTGTGAGCATGCCCCTGCACTCCAGCCTGGGTGACAGAGACTATGACTTTAAAAAAAAAAAAGCGGATCTAAACATTAATAATCTTTCACTTATTTATTAATTCAACAAATATTTGCTTGACATCTCAATTGCAAGCACTATTCTAAAGCAGTGAAGATAAAGTGGTGAAAAACTAAAGACTCACTCTCATATAGTTTACGTTTTAGATGGTGGATAGAAAATGAGTATGCCAAATTTTAAAATATAGATACATAATTTCAGGTAGTACTAAGGCCTGTGGCAATAGGGTAGAGTACTTGGAGACCAACGCCACTCCAACTCAAGTGGCCTTGCACTAATATTACCACACCTCAACTTCTCTTCTATGCTGCTCTACAAATTATTACTAAAGCTTTAGCCCAGGTCATAAATAAAGCCCAGCAAAATACGAGCTTATAAAAAAATGATAGCATTCTATCATATGTTCCTTCCACGTATTCTTTAGCAACCTTATTGCAAATCATTTTTACAATTCATGATACAGCCAATGTTCTTTACGGTTCCTAGTTATAAACTATCACACTGTACTAGCGCATACTAATCTTACATTACAAAAGTACCTATGCTTAAAATGCTATATTTCTGTGATCTTGAGTATCTTCAAACCCTTTAAAAAAATGTGTCCTCTACTTAAAATTATGACATTTCATGATATCTACTAAAATCAAGCCAGAAAAGTTAATTTATATACACAAAATTATTTGACCTTGACACTAATGTGTAAGCAAATAAGCACTACGCTACATTTGCTTTCTGCTAAAATTATGAATTAATCTTGTCATCCAAACATAGATTCCAAAATCTGTATCAACCATCCACTATTAATTTTTTTGCCAGTACTATAAATAAAGAAATCTTTAAAGGCCAACCACCACAGCCGGGAGCGGTGGCCCCCACATGTAATCCTAGCACTTTGGGAGGTGAACATGAGAGGACTGCCTGAGACCAGGGGTTTGAGTCCAGCCTGGGAAACTTGGCGAGACCTCATCTCTACAATAAATTAAAAAATTAGCTGGGTATGGAGGTACATGCCTGTGGTTCTAGCTACTTGGAAGGCTGAGGTGAAGGATCACCTGAGCCCAAAGTTCGAGGCTGTAGGGACCATTAAGTGTGCCACTGAGCTGGGCTCGGTGGCTCAGCCTGTAATCCCATGCCTTTGGGAGGCAGAGGTGAGTGGACTGCCTGAGCCCGCAGGTTCAAGACCCGCCTGGGCAACTTGGCGAGACCTCATCTCTACAATAAATCAAAAAAAAAAAAAAAATTAGCCGGGTGTGGTGGCGCGCACCTGTAGTTCCAGCTACATAGAAGGCTGAGGCGGAAGGATCACTGGAGCCCAGCAGGTCGAGGCTGCGGTGGCCGGGAGTGGCCACTGCACTCCAGTCTGGGCGACAGAATGAGACTCCAACTCAAAAATAAATAAATAAAAATAAATAAATAAATAAATGTTCCATGCAGTAACATAGTTTACCATCATTCCATCAATCTATTCAAGTTCTACTAAGATATTGCATTACTATTTAAAAAGTGTCACTTTAAACTACCTTGAAAAATACAAACATTCTAAAAAAAAGCCTTAAACCTTTTCCAACTACTCTATGCTCTCTAAAAATAAACTCTGATCACCAATCAATTCAATACTCACATCTTGATTATATTCCAAGAAGACATGGAAATTTAAATCTTTTCTCAAAATAGGATGTGCTGCCACACGACACAGGAACACTTCATGCATTGCAACTGTCTTCTTGAATATTGCCAAATATTCACTAGAAACAATATACGAAATTAAAGGTTAAAAACTCCATCAACTAGAAAGTCATCTGCAACACATTTTTTCAGTGAATACTCTTTGGATTATTCCAAATGCAAAATTAGAGATACAAAGATATAATTTATGTAAACAAAGGTTTTAGTTGAACTGTTAATCAAATATATAAAACCCAGCTCTTAAAAAGACTTCATGCCAGTTAATAATATTTATTATATCTACATGTTAATATTTTTAAGTTTTATGTACTTACTATACAAGTTGATGTTAAAGTCAACTATAGGGATATTTGTTTCCAGCTCCAGAAAAAGTAAACTACAAACTATTTAATACAACCTAAACAACTCAATTTCTGGCCAGGCTCGGTGGCTCAGTCTGTAATCCCTGCACTGTGGGAGGCCAAGGAGAGTGGATTGCCTGAGTTCGTGGGTTTGAGACCAGCCTGGGCAACTTGGTGAGACTTCATCTCTACAATAAATAAAAAAATAACCTGGGCGTGGTAACACACACCTAAAGTTCCAGTTACTGGGAAGGCTGAAGCAGAAGGATCGCCGGAGACCAGCAGATCAAGGCTACGGTAACCATGAGTGTGCCACTGCACTCCAGCCTGGGTGACAGAATGAGACTCAAACTCAAAAACTAAAAACATTCACTTTCTTTTTCTTTCTTTTTTTTTTTTTCTGAGTTGGAGTCTCACTCTGCCACCCAGACTAGAGTGCAGTGACA